TTTGAACGGGGCTGGGGGAGGGAGTCACAAATAGTACATCCAGTTACCTGTGAAAGCGCTTGCTTCCCCCACCCCGTGTGACCTCCCCTTTGTTGATGGAAGGGGTGGGCTTAGCTGTGGGAGGAAAGCTTGCAGGGAGAGGAGGGGTGGAAATCCAGTAAAATGGCAATCTGTGGGAGCAGAGTGGGTGGAGAAGGAATGCAGTGAACTAGTCTTGGACTCAGATTAGGGAGCGATTATTAATGAGCCGCTGTGCAGTCCCTGAATGCATTTCAAACCAATAGAACAGCAGCAACCCGGTGATGTTATCGGCAAAAGTGGCCACCCTCCCCACAAGCAGCTGCTTTGTTCCATGGAGGGGTTGACTGTGGACTTGGTGTGAGGGTCCCCTTTGCTGTCACCTCGGAGCCAGGGCCCCCAGTGCCACCCCATGCTGTGAGTCTCTTGGCGGAGGCTGCAAGAAGCCAGAGCGGTCATAGGAGGCCGCAGGAGGCACCCCCGCTCAGGGGCATTACGAACTTAGCTGCGTGTAAAGAGGTTTCCTTCCTAAAGATAGTGTTGACAGCCAAGAGGAAGAAGTGTGCAAGTGCGTGGGGTGTTTGTGGGCAGGAAACTTTGCCGTCTTGCCCTCCTGTGGACTGGCAGTACAAAGGTATCACGAAAATGACTGGCAGCTCTCGCAGAGGTGGAGGGAAGGCTGATGCAGACTGCGAAGCTTGAAAGGCACAGTGGGAGTATGAGAGACGTAGAGGGGAAATTGGAGGGGGGTGGAGGAAGGAGGCTCTGCTTTTATGTCAGAACGAGGTAGGGCTAGGGGAGAGGGAGGAGAGGAAAAAGAGGGTCTGTGCTCGCCCACACCACTGCCAAGCAGGGTTGAAAGAGAGCAAGGGCGTGGGATTGCTTTCTTGCGCTGAAGATCAAAGGAACAGAAGCAATGCAATCTGGTGCTCGTGTAGGAGCCGTGTCGGTGGAAGGGAAGAAATGCGCCAGTGGGATTGGGAACATCTGCTCTAAGAAAGCACTTTAAGAACAGCCAAGTTGGAAAGAAGCACCGTGTGTGTGTGTGTGTGTGTGTGTGTGTGTTGACAGCCGACTGAGCAGCAGCGGGGTGAAAGGAATGCTTGCTTAGCATTGCTTGCCTATATATCCTGCTGTCCAGTGAAGGATTGTGGTTAGAGTGTTGGGCTTGATACTTGGCGAATCCCCGGATCTAGTCCCCACTCAGCTATGAAGCCCACTGGGTGACTGGCCAGTTGCTCCCTCTCAGCCTAGCCTACCACACAAGGTGGTGGTGGTGAGGACAAATAGGGCTACGTTAAGCTGCCTTGGGCAGAAAATAAATGCAATATAATGATAATCGAGCTTACAGTTAGACCTCCAGCATTTGCCTTCCTGAGTGTTAAGCCAAGGTGTTTGCTTCAAGACACCAAGATGGCGTAATGCCAGGAGAAGGAACATACAGCCATTCCGTAACTTCTTCCCTGGACACTGTAGCAGAATCCACTTAGCTTCCATACAGTTCCACCTCTGCAGGCTTTGTGAGGGCTGGAAGCCAGGGAGAACTTCACATTGACTAAATATGGTTTGTACGTTGCTCCTGCTGAATAACTTTTCCATCATGGTTTGTTCAACTCCAGCAGTTTTGCACTTGCTTTTTACCCTTTTTCCTAAGTGGCTGCTGCTTGGACAGTTTAATGGAGCAGCATGTTATGTGATGTATTTGGGGCAGAAGAAATGCAGAAACTGACAAGCCAAGGTGGTGAAGACCAATGACTGGCTGGAATGGTTTAGCTGAATGGAGGCGGGGGAGCTTTGTGTATTCCACATTCTAGAGCAATCCATATACAATTGTGGGCTTTGAGGCTATGAAAAATCTCACCCTAATTCTCTTTTTAATGCATTTCCCCTCCTTATCACACAATTTTGATATAAGGCTTTCAGAGTAAAGTTCTGCTGCAGATAGTTTAAAGTTCCAACTAGAAACTTTTAGTCAAGGAAATTACTTGCTTTTTTATTTCTTTGCCCTTGACACCATTTATTTCTTGGCCCTCCACCTAGAGTTGCTGGGTCACAGCACCACAGTTAATAGCAGAATCACAAATTGAATTAAGTGACAGTACAACTGAATACATCCCCATTTCTGTGCTAATCTTAAAGGTGCAGCAGCCCTGTCAGGGATTAGTTCTAGCACAGTCTTCCATTTTGTTTTTCCCCAAGCATCACTTCCCCTTGACAGTGTACATACAAGTATCCCCCCCCCCCCCCGTCCCTTGATGTTGCCACATTTTGTTGCATTACATCCTGGCATTGAAATAGATTTAATTTCCTTTGTCACCACTTGATGTACCCAGGATACTCAACGCAGTGAGGCCGCAACATAGTTTAATGTTGTTAAACTATGGCACAAAAGTTAAATAAACAAGAACAAATGGGCCTAAGTACCTCCCCGCAACCCCAAGTCAGTACTCAGTAGAAACACATTTAGTAGCAATTGTCACTGTGAGTTTTCTTGGATAATATTTGCCCATTCTTCTTGACAGAACCACTGCAATTCCATCAGGTTGAATGGGACTGTGATCGAGTCCTACTACAGATTTTCAATAGGACTGGGCCATTCAAAGATATTTAGGTGTCTTAACCACTTCAGGATTACTCTGACCACTTGTTTAGGGCCATCATCCTGATGGAAAGTGAACCTTCCCCCCGCCCCACATCCTTTGCAGACTGAAATAGGTTTTCCTCTAGAATTGTCCTTTATTCACTCCCATCCATCTTGCCCTCAATCCTGTCTAGAAAAGCATCCCCACAACATACACTGCCACCATCTTGCTTCACCATGGAGATGGTGTTATCAGGGCAATGGCCACAAATAGCCATTTGTGCAAGGCCAGAACATTCAATTTATGAATTTCATTTTTAGCTCATATTTCTAAGAAGGTCAGAGTGATGTATATGGTTCACCGATAGGGACTGAATGGCCAAAGAGCATCCAAAAAATTTCTTAGCTAAGCAATGGGGTTGAACTCCTGGGAGGGGTAAATGCAGTGTACAGAACAAAACAAATGGTCTCCCTTCAGTGAACGTTTTGAGAATATAGAAAGCTGAGTCCCATTAGACCAGACAACCCTTTTCCACATGTTTGTTGTGGCACCCTCATGGCTTCTTGCAAATTTCAAATGGGTTTTGATATGGGTTTGTTTCAGCCATGGCTTTCTTCTGTACCATTTGTCCATGAAGCACAGCTCTGTGGAGCATCCGGGCAGTAGTTGTCCTTTGGGTGATTTCTTTGATCTCAACTTCAGATTTCTCCAGCTCCGTCAGAGTTACTGTTGGTCTTTTGATTGCTTTTCTATCTAATGGCCTCCTCACCCAGTCACTGGGGGTTGGTGGACAGCATTCTTTAGGCAGAGTCTCAGCTGAATCACCTTCCTTCCATTTTGTAATAATGGATATAAAAGTGCTCATGGGGATGTTCACATTTGGAATTTTTTTAAAATACTGAAATCCTGATTAGTTCTGCTGCCCAACTTTGTCCCAGAGTAGTTTTGATAGCTCCTTGGTGCCATCAGATAATGATGCTGTTTTTTTATACATTGTATGCACACCAACAAATTCTGGGCCTTCCAGTAATAGAGGTTCTGGGATCCTGTTTCTGGATGCATGACTTATTCTGCAAGTGTTGTTTAAATTGCCATGCATCCAGGCTCTCTTCCCTTTAATCTTCCTACCTCTCACAACCTCTTTCCAGTTGTATAGAGCTGCTCCTTTCCATAAGTATTTTAATCCCATTCCGACTTTATTCACAAAAGGTGGTGTGGGCATAGCCTGGTAGTTCTGTTCCCAGCTGGGAACATTCTGTATCTTCACATCATCTCTACCAATTGTCAGCAGCTCCATTACCAGAAGCTCAATACCACATAGCTTGCTAGTCTGTCTGATTCAATCACTTGAGATTAATGTTTGATTTTGATTCTAAGAAGCGGGTATATGCAACTCAGTACAGCTGTGTGCAGGCCTGTTGTTGCAAAGGCCCTTCTTTAGGTTCAGGAGCTTAGAAAAGTTTGGTTTGCTTTTGGTTATGTTCACTGCTTTTTTAGCTTCTTTGTGTGTCCAGCCACTATTTCTCCTGTACTGTATAGCACATAGTTCATCCATTCCAGTCTTTCTCCTAAGAGATTAGAACAACATACACAAGGATTATCCTATCTAATTTTAACTTTGCAACAATTCTCAGACATCAGCTAGGAGGAGACATTTGTTGATTTACAATTTAATCTAATGGGCTTCATGGTTGGACATTTGAACTACTGGTATACTACCATATCTTCTCTCCTGAAAATCATTTATATTTTGTGAAACTGACCTTTTAGGCTGACTGCATATCTAAATCGAGCCTTCTTAAATTGTCCTTATAGTAATCAAGATTTTGCAGGCAACTATACCTGGAAAAGTGAGAAACAGGCCAAGTGTAATTATTTATTATTCATTTCCAATTTGCTTTCCCTGACCGTTCCAAGCCACATTTTGGAGTGCATTAGCCCTCAGAAATGGCTTTTCAGTGCTGTTTATTTGGCATTCAGATAATGAAATAATGATATGTTCTATGTTATGTAGTTATCCTTTGATTTTGTTGTACCTTTTGGTGCTTACATCATCAAATAAAAAGCATGGCTATTTTTGAAAATTGTTCAGTGATTAGGATATGTACTTTCCTACATTATATTAGTTCTAATGTCTTAACTTGCAAAAGGAAGAACTTTGGAATATTCAGCACTGTAACTACCACTAGAACCACCTGCTCAAAGCAAGATTTTTTTGTCATTAAGAAAACCTATTCTTGCTCTATAACTGCTTAAATTCAGAACTTAATTTCTTGAAAAAATAAATCTTTTTTCTCCCCTTTAGCTGTGCTGATTATGTAAATCATGAAAAAAACCAGCCCTATAAATTCAAAAATCCTGATAGTTACAGTTCCTTTTTTCCCTCTTGCATGTTCACAGGATGGATTTCCTGATTTTCAAGATGCAGTCCAGAGTTTTTATCAGCAGGATTCAGCCAAACTACAACAGGCTTTGTCCAAAGGGAAATGTGAAGATCTGGCCGCACTTGGCTTACAAGTAAGTAACATCAGTAGACTTTGTCCCGTTAGTACATAGAAAATGACACTTCTATATTTAAAGAACATTCTCTTCCAGTCCTGCAATTTAAGAGCTTCTTGTGACCTGGCTGTGATAGTATCACTTTTAATGTAGGTGTATGACTCATTAAAATGATTATTAACGGGGGTGGGGGAAGACTGCAGCTTTCCCTTTACTCACAGTAGAAAAATGGAGACTTTAACTGTGAAGAAAATAATTTAATATAGTGACTGGAGGAAGTGGAATTTTTCAGTGGCAGATCTCTCTTGTCACATTACATTTGCAAAGTATGGAGGAGAGAAAATAGAAAGTATTAGAGTTCTGCCTTCATCAGAGAAAGCAAGAGAAGCTTTTTTAAAAAAATTGTGGAATCAGTATGGTGTTTGGCATTTCACTGAGACTTAGTAAATGATGAATGAAGTACTGCTTAATTTTCATGTAAAGAACCCCAAAGTTTTAATAATTGCTTTTTTAAAAATTAGATTTGGATCTGGTACATTTCGTTTTGGACTAATTTTATAGAAATAGTATTAGCAGCACCAACCATTTCTTTAAACTAGACTCAAGCATTCAGATACTATTAGATTCAAACCTCCAAAACTCTTGTTTTGTTTCATAGTGCCTTTTCTCATGTTATGAAATGAACAACGGTCCAGAATTCTCCTTGCCTCCTTCCCACTTGCTTGCCATGGTGAATGTTCTGTTTTGCTGCTCTAGCAATATGCTAGAGAAGAAGGCTAGGATGTGCCACTAAGGTGCTTGGTGGACAAGGCACGGAGAGCACCTTGCCTCAGTGGGAGAGAAATTCTGGAGTCGACTGCTTAGTGCCTGAGCCACTTGCTGTTCCCGCTCTTGCAGATCAAATGTGGAGATGGGGAAAGCGTATGATGATCCTACCAGCCTCCATAGTTGGATATGCCTGAACTTGTGTGGAGGCACAGTGTAAAGTAAGGGACAAGCAGTTTAGTCCTGTGCGTAGCTACTCAGAAACCCTGCTCTGTTCAATGGGACTTACTCAGAGTTTCAACTATTAGATGGAATTGAAAATAGCAGCAGCAGTGGCGGCAGCAACAACAACATCATACACAGAATTGCGCCACAAGGCTTAGAGTGGCACAGAATTGCATTGAAGGGGAAGAGAAGCATTGTGGCTTGGGTACCAAACCTGCTAGAAAGGAGCCCTTTACTGTCTTGAATGCAGGATAGACTGTTTGAACTGTAAAAAAGCTAATACTTTTTCACAATAAACAGCTATATGAAAATAGGAAGTTTTCTTACATGGAGGTAGATAATTATTCATATTACTAGGTGCATCTAGCACAGCATTCTTAAGCTTGACCGGCATTGTCTGTCTTGACTATCTTCCCGGGGTCTCAGGAAGAGGTCTTTCAGTCCATCTACCTCCGCGTCTTTGGACCAGTTCAGGTGTAACCGCCCAGTCAACCATGGTTTATTAATGCAAGAAATGGTATTGTGCTCACATCCTTCTTCTCTTTCTTCAAGCACCAGCAATGCAGAGCTGCTCGGCTTTGTTAAACTGTATGTTCTCATTGCATCTGAATGAGAAAACTAATCTCAGACTGAAAAAACCACGAAGTCTTAACTCTGGCATGACAGCAGGGGTGGAGGCCATGTGTGGGCATAATGCTAGTTCTGCATTATTAAACCATGGTGTATTAAACTGAAATTGTGCTTTAACTGTAAAGATTACCTTATATATGCAAAGCAAGCACTCCAGCCTATAGGGCTCGTTTGGATTTGAGTGGCATATGCAAAGTTGGAGTCAGACAATAATGCTGTCCTTCAGATGCTGCCACATATGCATTGTGCACATTCCAAACTAAATTTGATTTGTTAGGTACTCTTTGAAGCCCTTTAGGGTTGAAGACTGGGATGTAAAATACAAAATAAATGGGTTGCATGTTGTCAGAAAAGGTATAATTTGGAATATATCTTTCTGTGCAGAAGAACCATGACAAATGCTTTTTGCTGCCTGCAATTTGGGAGGTCATCTTGACCTAATGTGGGCGTTACCTCATAGGCAATGTTGTTGCAGCTTTACCTTCATGCAGCGTAGGCGACTGGGAATCTTAAATTTGAGAGGGGGTGGGTGTTCATCCAGTAGAACAAATAAGCTCTGTGAAAGCTCACTTTACAGCATGTGTTTAAAGCTCTTCCATTGCTGCCCTTACTAGTCCTGGGATCCACCCTTTGTCACTGTGCAATTTAAAGTGGGCAGAATCTTGGAGAAAGAAAGCTGGATATACAAACTGACATGGCAATGAGGGTCGTTTCACACATACGGCAAAAGAACGGGAACTGGAATTGCAGGGTAGTCTAATCCTGATTTCCCACCTGGGTTGCCTGTTTGATGCAGGAATTTACAACAGTGTTGGTTATTTTCATGCATTATATTATGAGGCCAATCTAATTTTGTTTATAGGGCTGAGCAAGGGTTAAAAACCCGCGCTGGAGCTGGAGGGGATAGGAAGGTTTTGCTTTTGCTTTGTAAAGGCTATTGCCTCCATTTTTGGCATTTAGGTGGTCCTGAGGAACAGGAAATTTACCTCCAACCCGAACAGTTTTCTAGCCAAACTTCTTCACATACTGTATGTCTCATTTAAACAGGGAAAAATCACTCTCTCCCCCACATGCTTTTCTTTCTCAAATGATGATCTATCACAGTAATTAAAAATATCACATTCAGAGTTTAAAATTCTTTTTGGCATTAATAATTTATTCTGTCCCCTAGCAGGTTGCTAACCTGTTTTAATTATCTTTTTCTTTTGTAGTATATAAGACCTTGTTTGTTTTATGAGGCAAATTTTGCACACTATTATTCCCCAAATATACTGTCAACCTACACCTTTCAGAATAGCAGATTGGGAGGATTGTTTTGTTCTTTAAACCCTGGATATTGCAATTTCCAAAAATAAAGCTTGAGTGAAATCTTGGCATAATTTTTTACAGGTTTTTTTTTGGGTGGGGGGAGCAGATGTTCATGTTGCTCTTGAAATATGTTAGTGTGTATATATATTTCAAAGTGTTTTAATTCAACAAACTCTATTGCTTTAGGAATGCTATCAATTGTATTATTCATATGTAGTAAACCCCTCCTTTAATAACTGCTTGGAGCATTCTGATGAGTTTTTCACATTGAATTAAATTGATTATTTAGCATGTCTCTGCTTTATTTGGTCTGGAAATATTCACGCTGTTTGAAAGGAAAATTGTTTATTGGTAAAGTCATTCTGAATATATCCTTGTGTAAGCCAAGGAAGCTTAAAAGCCGGGCTCTAGAGAGCAAGTTCTGTTGTGGTTTGTGACTATCCCAAGTGCCAGCCAATCCATGCTATGCAAAAACACTGCTGTGAATGGAGGCCGGGGTTCGGGGTGGCTTCATAATTGACAAAAGGGCCATTCAGTCAGTGCTGTGAGGATGTGTCCACAACCAGTTTAGCCCCGATTCCAATTTTAATGGAAAGGCTGTACACGTGTGTAAACCAAGAGTACCCAGGTTCTTCATTGAGGCTTTGTATTGATTCAAATTAAGAGTGATAATCCACCAAGCTGTTATCCTGCCACACACACACATACATGTTTTTAAATTATTACTTAATTTTGTTTTTATTTTATAGCAGTAGAGCAAGCAAAGATGTAGCAACATAAAGGCAAACTAAAATAGAACAAAGAATTGTTAGAGGCAGGCAGGGAGGGGAATGGGATGTACCATTAATTTGATTTTGTCTACTGTGCAAGATGATTAGAAGAGCAATGCGCTGCATGTGGGGAATTGTACGTCTGTGCCCATATCATGGTAGGATCACTTCCTGCTGAGGTTTAAACTTAAGGCAGCTTTTCTCCCCCCACCCCAGAGTAGGGTTGGATAATCTATTGTGATGGTCTGTGCTCAGAAGCTAATGGATTCTGCTGGATTCCAGAGAGCTCTGTGAAATGCATTGGCTGGCACTTCTGTTGAAACCTTGGTCACTCTGTGGAATGAAGAGATGACTCAGCCAGTTGCCACAATCATTGTCTTCCGTGGAAACCCTTTGGCTCCTTGAAGTACACCTGAGCTGCTGGCACTGAAGCAGGTTGGGAGGTAGCTAGGAAAAAATGGAGCAAATTCTTGAGCTAAGTCTGACTGAGCCTACCCTATGGTGGTGACGGCAGAGCAGTAGTTCCGATGAGCGTGGTCTCCACACAAAGTTGTCCAGTGGAACCTTTCTGAATAGTTTCAGGGTCTTTTGCAATCTGACCTAGGAGGAGTGGTAGAACTCTCCATAGTATGTTGTGATACCTTTGAGGAGTGGGGGATGTTACTGTTTAGAGACTACAATCCATGCAGATCAATCAGTAAAGGTATCCAGGGTCCTGTCTGGCCCTATTTTGTTGGATGACTTCCAGTATTTAGAGACTTTGCATGGTATTCAACATGACAACAGGGTTGCTAACTAGGACCGGGCATTACTAACATAATACACCAGCATTTTGTCATATTCAATGACCTGCAGTCTATTTCTGCAGTCCTGACTCTTAACAGTGCTGGTTTGACCTTCAAGATCCTTCATGGCTTATGATCATCTCTTTCCACATGTACCTACTTGGACTTTGAGATGATCACCTGAGGCCCTTTTTCAGGTGCCCCCACCCAGTAGGAGACTGAATCAGCTATAAATGAAAGAGCCATTTCTGCATTGGTGCATTGTGGTTGCTGCGTGCCCTCTCCAGGGAAATTTCTCTGGCACCTGCATTAATGTTCTTTTAGTGTCAGGTAAAAGACCTTACTTATGCAAGCTGTGTAAATCTTGCTGTAGCTTTCAAAGTAGCTTCAGCCATTATGTTTTATTCTCTGTCCATTTTATCATAATGTGGAGGGTTTTTAAAATACGGACATCACATTTTTCTGTGTTGCTTGTTGTATTTTTTTATTCTATAAGAAGCCCTGGTAATTTTGTTCAAGGGCACTCTTTAAAAATTGAAAATAACTACATGTCTGTTGCATTTAGAAATGATATCTTATTCTAGCAGCATTTATTATTCTAACATTTAAAAAGGTTATTTGAGAATAGTTAAACTTGCTCATTCTTAATGTTTGCCAAGACACTGATTTCTCTTTGGCCCGAGTTCATTAGTAGCGTTTTTGCCTTCACTACTAGTCGTCCGTTTCCTTCCTCATTGGTTTGGTCATCTGCACTTTCTAATATGTCTTGTCAGGGTCATGCCGTTTCTGTGTCTCATACTGCACTTAGCATTTTGCTGGTGCAAAATAACTTATGTAGTAGTAATAATATAGCTTCAGCTCTTGGGTTATATCAAAAGGAAAAGAAGATGAAAACAGACTAGGACATGTGGTTAAATCTGTGTTTGCTTTAATTTCAGCCTGAAAGGATGATGGCCAAGCAGATGGAGTTCCTTTGCAACCAAGCTGGTTTGGAGAGACGCCTTTCCACAGGTCTTTACAGGCAAAGCTCAGAAGAACACAGTCCTAATGGCTTGATGTCAGATCATGGTGATGGCCAAGGTATCGTAATTTCCAGGCATGTAGTTGCCATCACACATCTGTTCTGCAGTTCTTAATAGGTATAAAGTTGATGTAGTAGTGGCCCTTTCTAAATCATAACAAAATGAAATTTGCTATGGCAACAGATTTCATAGAGGGAGAATATCACAGCAACAGAAGAGAGGTGTTTGTAGGCTGTGTAGGTATTTCACTGTGAGAAATAAGTCCTTTGAGAAGTAGAATGTGGTCTGATTTTAAAATACATGTTAAGTGATGTGGAACTGCCTCTTCTGTGGAGGTCATTACTTTGCTTGGAGACTCTCTCTTTCCACCCATGTGATTCAGGTGGTTTGCTGGCATTGAATTATGCCCACACTGGCTGCTGGATCAAGTCACCATCACAGGTGTGTCTGGAAACCAGTGAAGCCACCCAGACAACATTGCTGAAGACCAACTTTATGTAGTGTCCTTAGAAACAAGGGAACAGAACTTCTTGTGGCTCTGAGGCTGCTTAAATCAGGCCTGCCTCCCTTGCACATACAGGGATTGTGTCTGTTTTAACATGAATATGACTTACATCACCAAAGGAATATCTGTATTTTCCAGGCGAAAGGCCCTTAAATCTACGCATGGCAGGTCTACCAAATAGACACATGCCACACATTTCATTGGAAGGAGAGCCTCATGTAGTGAAACCCCTCTGCAGTGACTTGAGCCGGCTGTATGCCAGCACTGAGGCAAAGTCACAGCCTACAGGTAAGGATGTGTCCTTCCTTGGATAATTGTGCACAGTCCTGTGAAAGAAGCTCATGCAAGGCAGCCACCTGTCAGCTCTTGCATCAACAACCCCAGCAGGGCAGCGGGGCCATGTGTGAGAGCGAGCCTTCCTCTGGTTTTTCATGGGCAACTGCCTGGCTGTTGCGTGAACAGAATGCTGAACTAGATGGACCTTGATCCAGCACAGCACTTCTTAAATTCCCATTTGCATCACCCAGCCAACCTGCAAGACCAGGGCTTCGGTGCATAATTGCTGTAATTGTGGAGAAGTAGTTCAAAGCCTTGAATCGTGGGTTGGGCAACATGTAGGCCAAACTAGCTGGAGGTCCACAACTCTCATTAGCCCTAGAAAGCATGGACAGTGGAAGTTGTGGACCATAAATGGTCCACATCTGCATTAAATCCAAGGACTTCTTGTGCAATAAATTGCAATTAAGCAAGCCTTTTATGTGAATTCAGTAAACAATGTGCCTGAGTGCTTGGCTGGCTACTACAGCGGAACATCTCATGAGTCCCCCTTGTGAGATGGTTCTGTATATAGAAATGGTTCAGTAGCATATGCTGGTAGACTCCCCAGGACTGCAAAAAAAAAAAAAATTCTAATGTACGAAAATAAATCTGCACAGTGCAACAACCCTGCCACTTTTTAAATGTTAGGCCCTGTGTTCTGCCATAGTTTATGTGGATGTGATAAAGTGACATTTAACGGTGAAAAGCTTGATGCAGCATGTTGAATTACTTTTAATGGGGAAGGAAAAGAGTTCTACTTTTGAGAATCATGTTTTTGCCATTTGGTTCAAATGATGTTTTGAAATTTGCCATCAGGCAGGTACAGGTGGACCCAATTTTTAACTAGTCAGTAACATGAAATCTAAATAACTTAAATCAATTTGAAGGTCTGAGGCATGCCTCTCAGTCTTCAAAAAGCTGGAACTCTTGGCCTGCAAAATGTAGTATCCCTACTCTGAGTGTGTCATAGCCTTCATGACTGCAAAGTATGTTTAAGCTAAACAGTTGTCTAGCTGTAGTTATGATGCATGATCCAGAGGTCTACTCTGTAATATGCATAGCATAGTTGTTTTGCTGAGCTGATTGCTTTTAAGTAAAATGATCATGTATGTATAGGATTTTGTAGGCTCTTTCCACTGACTCCAGTTGCTGGTAAAGAAGCCCTGAGCTGTTAAAAATAATCTGGGTTTTATGTTTGTTTGTTTGTGTTTTTTTTCCAGAAGGTCTTGGTATCCTAAAAGATTTCCCTCACTCTGCTTTCAATAGCCTCGAAAGGAAGGTTATAAAGACAGAGCCAGAAGATACGAGATAGCCATACTGCAGTTGAAAATAAGTTATTTAAGAAAGTTTTGAATGAGAAACAAAACCAGCCTTAATAACCAGTGTTGCCTCATTGAAATAAGAGATTTTATAGCCAAAGCCTAAGAAATGGAACCGTCATATTGAAGAACTGACATACAAAAAGTCCTTTTGGAAACTGAAACTGTAATGAGAAATGGGTGCAAACATTATGAAACATGGCTTCATAATATGGGAAGGGTTCACAAACTAATACTGTGGGTCCTTGTTATTTAAGAATGTATTATGTATTTGTATAACTTGAAAGAAAAACCTTAGGTGTCAGAATGTGCGTTAAGTCCAGTAGATGTGACTGCGATAATTTTTACTTGAAGATTCAGCATCTACTTTAAATGTAGACAGGACAGGAGTCTGATTTTTTAAAATCCTCCTTTTGGGGCAGGGGGCAGAACACAGTGTGGGGTGGGGGGGGGGAATCGAGTGTAACTCACTTTAACAGCAGGTTTGTAATGTTTATTTTTTAGAAGCAAAAAATAAGCAATTACATAAAATGTTATAGGAACATAGCATTTTGAATGAGCTGACTGTATTATAACAGGCATTTTAATGCTTAACGGTGATAACATTCTCAAAGATTTCATGATGTATAATGTATTTATTTACATTGTAATGTCTATTATCTAGGGATTGGTGGGAGAGAAAGAAACATTCTGACATCAGACTTTCTGATTAAGACTGTCAGGGCAGTTCCTGCCGAAATTGTGACATTTGGAACTTTCCTTAGAATCTTTCATTTTTTAGGTTGGAATGCCTCAGATAACAGAAGAGGGAGAAAAGCAATGCCAGACAGTTATGTGCTCTAGAACAACCAATACAATGACAAAGACTTGGCAAAGAAATGAGAGGATGACGATAGTACTGATCAGTGTGTAGAGAGCAGCGGCAATACTAATCCACTTGACTATTCGTATACCATATACTGCATCCTGTGTACTGATGCACTTCCTTTTGTATGTATGAACAGTTGTACTCATTATTTGATAGAGGGTTCCTTCTCTGTGAATGGTTGATTCTTAAGGGTGCCCATTTTGTCTGTAATATAAAAACTGGCTTGCAAGAGACATCTTGGTGTTTACCTTTGGGATCTCTCACGGTGGTGTCTGCATGTTAATACATAATATCATTGTGACATGTGGGTTTGCCTACATCCCCTCTCCTCAGCATCACTTAGGATTGTGGTCGCATTGCTGAGGTTCAACAGGGTTTCAACACCTTGAGTTCAGCCCCAGCCTGGTACCCTTCAAATGTTTGGGGCTACAGCTCCCATCATCCCCAGCCAGGATGGGGAATTGCTCTTCATAGCTGAAGATTTTGCTTTGTGTAATAGTGAGTACTGAGTCATTCCATGCACCATGCTGAAACCATCAGTGTAGTGTGAAGTAACATGTCCATCATATCAGCCTAAATCCATCGTAAAACATGTTTAATATCTGTTATCACTTGATTTGTGGAGCAAGGCTTCATAGCATAGGAACACCAGTGCACATGCTTTTAATATTATTGGGGGGGGGGAGTGCTTTTTTTTTTTTAAGGTGGGAAAATCTTGTTTGTGGAATTGAATTGATGAAGAAATTGTATTCAAATAAGTTGAACCTGCAGCTTAGTGGAACAAAACGAAGTGATGAATGTTTTGTGTGAATGGCTTGTACATTGTTTTGTGAACTACCAAAACAAGCACGGTTCCTAGTTTCCAGAGGATAGTGGCAGCACTGCTTACTTTCTGAGTGTTTTCACAAGATGGGATAATAATTACAGGGCACATCACTATCCAGCAGATAAAACATTTTGTTTTATAAAGGCCAATGTAATGTAGTGTAAATTTTAAATCTGTAGTACAATCTATTTTTTTATTTTCAGTTGTAAATGACCTGACTCATCTATGTTTAAGAATTGAGATACTTTTTTGTTTTGTTTTTACTGTCCAGCTAACCATTTCAGCCCCCAGAAGTAGGTGCGTTGTTTTATGTTTAATTTTTCCTTTAGATTGCAGGATGTCTTACACAGCCTTTTTTATTTCTAGTAAAGTAGGCCAAGGCAGCTAAAGACACTCTTAAATCCCTTGTCTGCTAGATGTACACTAATGTAGAAATAAGAACAGAAGGGCACATGGAAGAGTGCTCCACCCAGGTGGAGCTCCACCTCAGAAAGCAATTATTTGAAAGTATCCTTCCCTCACAATCTCCCTGCATGGGAGAAATTTATCTCTTAGATGTGAAAGCCTAGACTGCTCCTCGGTGTATTCATCTTTGCACAGGCAAGGAAATTTTGAAGTGAGGATACATACAACCCCCCACTTCCGTTTCCCTCACCTGCCATGCACAGCTGTGTTGGACTTTATCACACACTCTTCTGTATAACTGAAAAGGTACAAAAGCAGCCTTCCTCAGCCTGGAACCTTCCAGATACATTGGACTGCAATGCCCATCAGCCCTAACTAGCATGGCTCAGTGGTGATGAGAGTTGTAGTCGAAGACATCTAGAAGGCACAAGGTTGGACCATGGCTTTCAAGGAAACAGACCTTGCTAAGCTCACAGTTGCGAGAGTGTCGTCTTCTAGAATGCTAATACTTGAGAGAGCTCCTGATTGATGGCAGTATCTCAAATGTCTTATCTACAGGTTTTTGGGAAGAGGTTTTAAGGATGCCTAGCTGTTAGCCACAGCAAGGTTATTTTGACCAAAGTGTGATACTTGTTTGTCTGCATTTGTATTCTTGTTTGTCTGCATTTGTGTGCCTTGTTGGTCACAAAATAAAAGTCACCTTCACAAAGGAGTTTTTTCCTTGTTTTACTGTAAAATAAAAGGAAACAGCAGAACTAATTCTGTGACATAGAACCATGCAAACTTTTCACTAAGCAAGGCCAGTTTCATTTCGTCTAGTAGTCCTCTTATGAATGCCACTTTGAAAAATGATCCATTCACCAGTCAAGAATTCCCATATTAGAAAGCACATGTTCTCTACAATATTTCTTGCCCTGTGTTGCTTCTGAGAAAGGAATCATTTCCTAATAGCACTAACCCAGCAAAGGATAGGGAGAAACACTTTGAGCTTGATTCTAGGTTCATAAACACAGATTTACACATATAGCTAGTAGAAATGCCAAATTTGCTTGAATTAAAGAATTTCATTATACAAATAATTAAAGAATTAATTATAGAAAACCAAATTACTAGCAAAGCAATATTCCCTGTCTTGTTTCCTTCAGAATTGTGCTTGCAGACACTTGGCAAGACATAATCCATGCTTCTGATCACTCAGCCCAATGCAGTGGGCTCCTTGCAAGGAAGGGAGGGAGGGGTGTAAGTAAAGGCAGAAGAGATTGGCACTGAACTGTCAATCTGGAAATGACTGTTCACAGCGTTACCTTGCCAAGAGGTAAGTCCTCCTTGTCCTGGCAGTGGATCTCACTCGTGCACTGGAGCGAGTAGGAACACGGCAACAATATAGACTCTTTGTAGTTTCAGTGACTCACATACATGCGTTCTGCGCACACACAACACTTGGAACATCCCAGAGCTGAAGTGAATTTAGATGGAAGCCCCACCCTCTGCAGATGTTTTAGGTATGGCTCTTGCCTACCTCTGCTCCTTCATATCTGCCATACCAACTAGTAACACTTAGCACCATCTCCACCTCGTAGCATTACATAAATGAACTGTGTCCTTGTCCTCTAGAGACACTGTCAGAGTTCATTTTCCTTTCCTACTTTCTGAGTTTTCTTCCCCCTGTACACTCTGCTCCTTTGAGTACATGGCCTTCAAGGCTTTCATTAAAATAGGTGCCCAGTGCAATCCCCTTAATGGAACAGGACTCTTGCTGTCTTCCCTAGCACAGGAACAGAGGAGGGATTTCTGCCCTCACTGCCAGGCCTTCCTTTCACAGGGCAGAAGAAATAGCATGGCATGTCTTCCTGCCCACAGACACTCCAGTAGGTGGACGCAGCTGCCTTTCTTCACACCACTGTCTCCATCTGCAAGAAAGCTGCATCATCTCTCATCACAAAGAGCCCACCCATGGAAAGCATGCAAGGGGCCGTTGTCCGTTATTGGGCGTATCTGCCCCTGAGCTGCTGTCAGCCTTTGCCTCGACTTGAGAGCAACTGGCAGCCCAGATCAAACTGGACCCTTTGTGCTGGCAGGCAAGGCAATCGACCCCCCACCCCCAGTGCTCTGCTGATCCCTGCGCTCTGGGACCAGTGAACGAGAAGAGACCACCTGCCGAATGCAATGATTATTGGTAACATCCTTTCAAGGTACATGTTGACTACTGACATCTGGAAAAGCGGCAACTCACAGAGGGCCATAATTCCCCTAATGATGATCAGCATATCAGGTTGCTATCACAGGATGGTTCAGAGAATGTCCTTATTGATCCTTGCAGCTGCTACCCAGGTACAGCCAGATCCCTTCAATCTCCCAAGCTTCCAGCATCACAGTGATATGTCTTTGGATGACCGTTAACAGCCTTACTCTGATTTATCTCCATCTTAACCCTATGAAGACCAGCCTCTGCCACTACACCTCTCCTCTGCCTGACAGTATTGTGAATACGAATGCAAACAAAAAGCAAACACCCTTCAGCAACATCTCTCTGACTCCCCTTATTACATGGAACAACTGCAGGCATCTTCTAATCATGTTCCACCAACTCACATGGTATCCCAACTTCCTGATACAAACTGCTATGGTACACGTGCCTGGTTTCCTATGGCAGAGTTTCACCAGGAACCCAGATCAAGGGTGGAGGGTCTCTTTTGTGCATCTACAGATAAGTTGTGGGATAAAGTCCATAAAATAAGAACACCATTGAAAGATGGGAATGGGATTGATAAACCACTGCTAACTGGCAGAGTCAACAGTTCATTTGTTGTTCAATTGTCAACAGTTCAAACCGTTCATTTGAGTCAACAGCTAATTTGCATGGGACAAGTACTCCAACCAATTCATATGTTCCTTTCCCTCTTACAGACTGTCCTGATCACCAGCTTTCTCATCCAAGCAGCTTCAAAATTTTTCCTGCCTGCTTGGGAACCTATCGCCAGGAACACACAGCTTCTTTATATCATTGCTCAGGCAGTCCATCAGGTTCAGTGTAGCCCTCCCTTTTATTTTTTATTTTATTCATTGACAATATTTTTACCCTGTCCTTAATGTCTCGGGATGGCTTACAACATAATTAAACATAACAAGTGTCTCCTGCTTTACTTGCTGTACTCATGTTCTCTGATGTAGAATCACCATGCTTTTAATAATCAAAAGCTCAACAGTAAAAAGCTCAATTTCTTCTCCAAATATTTCAGTTCCACGAAAGGACAGAGATCTTCAGTTTTTAGTCAACCCACGGAGTGTCAACCACACATCCACCATATCTATTCACCAT